AGTGATCGGCAAACTTCATTATCTTTCTTTTACTCGACCAGATGTTGCATTCAGTGTAAGCAAGTTGTCTCAATTCATGCATGATCCTAGTCAAATTCACTGGAAAGCAGCCAAACAATTGCTTCGCTATTTGCATCACACTTCAAAATACAGTTTCAAACTACCCAAAGACACAGATAAACATCTCATTGCATATTCTAACTCAGACTGGGCTGGAGGTCCAACTGACCGTACATCCACCATAGGCTATGTTATCTATTTTGGCGATTCACCCATTTCTTAGTCCTCTAAAAAACAAAGAGCTATTTTTCGATCCTCTACCAAAGCAGAGTACCGTGTTGTTGCTAGCACAACTCTTGAAGTCAAGCGGATAGTTAATTTACTTCATGAACTACGTGTCTCTACCATCAGTGTTCCACGGATCATATGTGATAATCTTAGTACCACCTATGTGTGTCATAATCCAGTTCTACCCAGTAAGATGAAACATGTTGCAATTGATTTTCACTTTGTCAGGGAATATGTGCAAAATATTGAAATTGAAGTTCCTCACCTACACTCAATTGATTAGGTAGCTGACCTTCTTATTAAACCACTTCCCAAGTCATCTTTTCAACGTACTTTTAACAAGTTGGGTCTCGTTGATGCTGCTACACAATTTGCTGGGGCGTAATACCGAACTATTTCAAAATGCTTATGACTAAGCCCACCATCTTATCTTTGATTTAGTCTTCCTTATTTTAGTTTTCATTAGCTGATTTTTTGTGATTATATTTTTCATATTCTAGTTGTTTATTGTTGAGAATATCTTGTAACTCTGATTAAGTATACTTCTCCTGTTTGAACCGGGGTTTGAAACCAAACTTCTCCTCAGGAGGATAGATGGGGCGATTCAGGTGAGATCCAATGTAGATCCAATGTTGTTATGTGTTTCTTTGGTTGGCTACTCTATTGTTTGCAATGGGGAGGTAGTGGGTCATGTTTCACCCCATAGGGGGTTGAGACAAGGTGATCCATTGTCCCTTTATCTTTTTATTTTGTATTGTAAGTGTCTTTTCATATTATTAAGGATGTTGAGAATAAAGATAGCTAGGATTTATATTAGTCGGGCTAGTATTAGATGTCCTATAATGTCTCACTTACTTTTTACAGACGATTGTTTTTTCTTTTTTAAAACAAATAGAAGAGAGGGTAATTATGTTAAAAATATTTCGAGGGAGTATGAAAATGCTTCAGGTTAGGCTGTAAACTTGCAGAAATCAGGTATCATATTTAGCAATAATGTAAACACATGGTCTCCCAAAACCAAATTTCTGATACTCTAGGGGTCCATAATTCTTTAGGTAATGATAAGTATCTAGATAATTCCTCCTTGATAGGAAAACAGAAAAAATGAGCATTTAACTATATTGGGTGTAGGCTTTGGAACATGATTAATAATTGAAACAGTAAACTATTATCTAGAGCTAGAAAGAAAATCCTCCTCAAATATATTGCTTAAGCCATCCCTTCATATTGCATGAGTGTGTTCATGCTTCCTTTATCTTTGAGTGATGAACTCAAAAACATCATGAAGGCTTTTAGTGGGGTTCCAAAAGAGGAGGTGGGAAAAGTATTCGCTGGTTCTCTTAGGATAGAATATGCCAGAGTTAAAAAGATGGGGGTATGGAATTCATAGATTTTCATTGCTTTAATGCAGTTATGCTTAATTAGTGAAAGTGGGTGGAGATTAATTTCTAATCCTAACACTCTTTTGTATAAAATCCTCAAAGCCAAATATTTGCTTTAAGGGATTTCTTATCTACTCCTTTAGATAGCAACTAAGTTTTACTTGGAAGAATGTTATTCTAGATAGAGACATTTTAAAGTATAAATGTTGGTAGCGTATTGGAAATGGAGAAAAAAATAATGGTAGGAGAGGACCCTTTAATACCAAAATATGACTCATTTAAAGTGGAAGAAGGAATGAGATTTATAGAAATTTGAGGGTTTGTGGTCAAAAATGAGAGAAGGAAATGAAATGCAAATAAAATATTGAGCTTTTTAGTGAATGAATATTAGAGTTATTCTAAATATTCCTTTAGGGATGGGGAACAATGAGGAAAAATTAATTAGCATTTTGATAAAAGAGGGATTTATAGTGTAAAATTGGGTTATTACTTGTGTTTAAGTTTCTTGGGAGGGGTGGAGAGAGGTTACAAGGGGATTTATGGAAGAAACTATGGGAACTAGAAATTCATCATAACTATAAAGAGTTCCTTTGAAAAGTTATTAGAGGTGTGATTTCCACTAGAGTGAGACTTAACGAAAAAGGTGTTGGGATAGATAAAACATGTCATTTTTGTGATATGGAGGAGGATATGAACATAATTTTTTTGCGATGCAACACAATAAAGGAGCTATGGAGATGGAGTGGAGTTATGGGTCCTTAAGATAATTTCACTTGACGAATTTTTAATGTAGATTATCGTTTCTACAAATCTATCTCATATTCTCAAGCATGTGACCATTCTTTGAAAAATTTGGAAAGCAAGAAACAAGGTTACAAGGAGACCTATTGAAGAAACTATGAAAACTAGAAATTCATTATAACTATAAAGAATTCCTTTGAAAATTTTTTTGAGGTGTAGTTCCCACTAGGGTGAGACTTTACAAAAGGTGGGTGAGGATGGATAAAACATGTCATTTTTGTGATGTGGAGGAGGATATAAACATAACTTTTAATGATGCAGCACGGTAAATAAGGTGTAGAGAAGGAGTGGTGTTATGGGTCCTCAAGATAATATTTCTCTTAATGGGTTTTTAATGTATTTTGTTGTTTCTGCAAATCAATTTCACATACTCAAGCAGGTGGCCATTCTTTGAAAAATCTGGGAAGCAAAAAACAATGCTATAAGGCAGAATAGTTCTTTCCAGCCAATATCGATTCTCCATGCAATGTACGTTATGATTCAAGATTGGCAATATTACAAAAATAATCCAGGCCCTTACGCATTCAACACGGCTCATGTAAATTTGATATTACCATGCAATCAGGAACGAAGCTAGACTTTAAAATTTTGGGAGGCCAAAATAAATTTTTCAAAAGTTAGGACGACCAAAATGAAGAAAAAAAACTTTTTATACGTTATAAGGCAAATTTAAAAAAATTTTGGAGTTTGGGGGCCCGAGCTCCTCCCAATCCCCCCTCCCTCCACCCCTGCATGCAATGTTATCTTAGTGGGTACTACTAACCCATAAAGTTGTCAACTATTTTGTAAGGGAGAATTTTTCCATCAAATTCACATGGCAGGTCTCAGTGCAGTTTTGGAATATGCAAAAGGTCGTTTCATTAGTGTCATTCCAGATTTGTTTGATTCTGTCAAAACCCTTTAATGGTGGAAGCATTAGCTTTGCGAGCCAGTCTCCATTGGATACAAGACAAATTCTTTCTCCAGGATTCATTTATGTAGACTCTCAAATCTTATTTATGTTTTAAATTCTGCTTCTCAAGTTTTTTCAAAGTTAAAATACTATTATTACGAATTGCAAAATTTTATTGGGCTTTAGATCTAATGTAATGTGGCTGTTAGATGGATTAGAAGACGTGCAAATATACAGGGCTCATTTACTTGCTATAGCCTCTTATTTATATACCCATTTTCAAGAGTAGTGTAATATTTCACAGCAATTGTTGTCATTTACAATTCAAATTAATGAATTTAAGTTTTCATCTTCAAAATAAAAAATAAAAAACTATAAATTAAATAACAAATATCTACAATAAAAAGCAACACGTATAACGTATAGTTTAAATACTAGTTTATTCAAATACATACTTGTCACATTTGAAAAAATGGTTTGTTCCAAAATATTTATCACATTTAAGAAAATAGTTTATTTCAAAATACTTGTCACATATATGGTTTAAATGAGTAATAGATATTTTTTTTTCCATGTTTACCCTTTATATATGATCAATGATTATTCAATTTAATGGTTTTCTTCGGAAAATTAGTATTAAATTAAGAGTAATATAGTCAATTTATTCAATAATTTATTATAACTTGGACAAATTTAATATTTTTTTTAAGGAACATGAAATTTCAATGTGACGAATATTATAGAACAAAAAGTAATATTTCACTATATTGTTGTGAGTCAAAAAGTGTCAAATTAACATAATGGAAGTGATACAATAAATGCTTCCCAAACTTATAGCCTCAATTTCCTTTTTGAACAAAATAATAGTCTCATTAATATTTTAAAAAATATTTTTTCACTTTCCACAATACCTTTATAATATAATCCATGTAACTAATTAATATCATTATAGTGAAAAATAAAGTCTTAAGATAATTAATTCTGAAATATTAATATACTACATCCTATTTTGAAAATCTCAAAGAACCATTAATGTACAACTTTTATACATGCAAAAATAAGAAAACAAATTAATAAATTGCTACCTTTATTCCATAATATTTGTCACATTTGAAACTTTACATTCCTTAAAACAACCATTAAATTTATCCAAATTACAGTAAATTATTGAGTAAATTGATTAAATTACTTTTAATTTAATACTAATTCTCTAAGAAAATTATTAAATTGAAATAATAATTATTGGTCATATATAAAAGGCAAACATGAAAAAAAATATTTATTACTTCTTGAAATCACAAAAGAACGTATCGAGTATTTTGAAACAAACTATTTTCTCAGATGTGACAAATATTATGAATTAGAGATAGTATTAATTTATATTAAGTATATGGACTATAAAGCCCTCTGTTCAAAAAATTGAAAGGGCAAAAGGCAAAAACATACCAATGGAAGATGATGAAATTGACAGTTCCGTACATAAGTATATGTAAGTATATATATATAAGCCCCCTTGGAATTTTCTTGCAATATCAGTAACTTAATATTATCAGACAATATTACTTGGAAATTTATAATTTGCAATTGCAATTTTTATCTTGTTACTCTTGACCACTGAAAAAGAAGAGAGACAAGAATGTGCCAAGTTGGACTTCAACTGCTCTGCATTCAGATTGAATTAAATAAGCTTGAAAAAACGAGAAAAAAGAAAGCATCTATGTTAGTCCGTCCATCTAATTCAAATATGCCTTTTCTTACAATTGGCGACCCACTATCTTGGAATAGTAACAAAATATTACACAACCATGGCAGACTACACAACACTAGTTTAGCAAGTCTACATATGAATAACTAACCTTATAAAATTCCAAGCCTTCATTTGTTAGGTTTTCATCCCCATAAAATTCCCACTTCAATGAATATAATCCTCCAGTTAGACCAATACAACTCCATTGGTAAAATTGCCAGCCAACTCCTCATAGGATAAATTTAAGGCTGAGGTACCGGCTAAACGCGCTCTAAGTGTAAACTTCTTCAGATTAATGGAACCACTGCTAGAGTAAAAGCTGCGGCTTGTGAACCATTAAATTCTCTCTACATTAAGAAGCCAATGACATGCGAAACAAAGGAATCAGCTATCATGAAAATAATAATAACAATAATAGTAATAGCAAAAAAACATAGAAGATATATATTAAGATTATGCAAGACAATCAACAGAGTAGATTTAGACTTCATTTAAACACTCAAAGAAACAAATTAGACTATGCTTACATGCATGGAAATGTAAACTCGATCTGAGTGCCACTAGAAAATATCGCGCCTCACGCATGACCTTATCCATCAAAAACCATGTTCTCCATTTAAATACCAACAGAAAACACATAAAAGGGACAGGTACCAGTTAACAAATTTATGTTGGAACTAGAAAATTTTTCATTTGCTCTCTTTAATCAGAACATATTTTCAGGTCATTTATGTGATACTGGATTAAGTCAGTAATATACTATGATTAATACTGCCTTCATTTCATAATACTTGTCACATTAGGAATTTCACATCTCTTAAGAAAATCATTAAATTTATCTAAGTTATAATAAATGATTGAATAAATTGACTATAATATCCTTAATTTAATACTAATTCTCTAAGAAAACCATTAAATTGAAGTCATAATTATTGGTCATGGTCATATACAAAGGGCAAACATGGAAAAAAATATTTATTACTCTTTGAAACCACAAATGTGACAAGTATTTTGAAATAAACTATTTTCTCAAATGCGACAAGTACTATAGAACAGAGGTAGTAAGTAATAGCATCCATGCTTTTAAACTATTCTATTGGGAAGCACAAAATAGGTTCAACTGGTTCACAATCATTTCTATAGTTCCTCATATTTCCATGTTTCTTCAAACCTTTTTATCAGTTGCTAACTGGAGGATATTAAGGTCATATCAGCTGTCCAGATTACTAGTTATCAAAACTGGGCCAAGTTCCGTAATATAATAAGAACAGAAAAGGAAACTCACTTGTTAAAATGCTTGTAACTGACTGGAGTATAAAAATCAACAGAAATCTATTCACACGCCTCCTGGGTAAAGACTACTTCATCCCAACTGAAGACAGTTTGTCCTGGCCAGAAGGCCGAATTGAACTTCCAGCTGTAGTTGATACAAATGTATTAGAAGGGGTGGGAGCTAATGTCCCCATGGGTCTTGCAATTGGTGGCCTTTGGGAAGTCATGCTCATAGGGGGTCTTGGAATTGAATTTGCAAAATTCATTGCAATTCTGTTGGTGGGTAATTGTGGCGGCATTCCTCTAGATGAGGATGCTGGTAGCCCAAGCCGCGCTGCAATTATCTGTGCTCGCTCATGATACAGCTTTTGCTTTGACCTGTCAAGTTGCTCCCTAACTCTCATTATTACATGGTCCATTTCATTAAAGAAAGCCAGTTTTGTTTCCAGCTTACGCAACTGAAACAAATGGAACCATCAGAAGTCAAATTTCTACAATCAACAATACACAATACCAGTAAGAGCCCCCAGAGCATGACAATACCTGCTTTTCTATCAATGATGCAGCAAGTTGTCGTATTTGGTCTTCTTCCTGGTTTGCGAGAAGCTTTGCCTTCACTGCTGCTGCCGAAAGAGCAGAAACTGCAGCACGCTTTACTTTATCAATGCTATTATCATCATTCTGCTTAAAATCAGCACTCTCTCTTTTACTGCCTTTTTGGTCCTCAGCTGCAAACAACCAAAAAAAGTGTAAGAAAATTGAGGGGTGATAACACTCAACTAGAATTTCAAATTAAGTTCATATTAGTCCTTGCATAGAGGAAGAACACAAGAATGACGTTACTCTCTTTATATACCAAAATAGACCTACTCTCTTGCCTCATAGTGTTCCAAGTTCTATCATCACAAATCTAACTAGATCTGTACACACACATGCATAACACACAAAGGGAGGGGAAAGAGAGACCTTTAGTCGCTCCATTTTCAACCACTGAATTTGGTGCAACTGGCTGCGGAGGCTCTTTTAATTCTGATGTCATTGAAGATAACATGTCTACATCCTTTGGTGCCTCTATAGACGGGGTAGAGTCTCGTACTGAATTTGATTTTACTGGTTGCTGTTGTTCATTCTTCTCTGCAGGCAGAGAGTCTGAGATCATATCTACGTCCTTTGACGTTTCTGCAGTTTGAGATTCCTCTTCAACTGGCACTGATGCAACTGATGGACAAGGCTCATCATTTTCAGCAGGTGTTGAATTAGACACCATTTCTACATCTTTATTAACCTCTTTAGGCTGAGAAGGCACAGTCGTCGAAGTTCCTTCTGTTTCCTTCGTAGAACTTGGTGGACACTCGGAATTGGATGGCATCTCATTTGATTCTTTTAAAACATTTATTTGGGGCTCCTTTTGCAACACCGAGTCGCTAGATTCCTTCAACTTACCATGTTCAACCTCATGAGAAACTGCAGTGCCTGCTTCGTTTGCAGTGTTTACATTCTCAGTGGATTTGTCACTTGGAGAATTCAGAGGTTGCTTTTCTTCTGCAGCAGAATCTTCAATTTTCCTGTTACTGTTATCAATTGACAACTCTCCGCCATCAGCATTATTTCCCTTCTGGGCTTGGCCCTCCTGGTTGAAGTTTTGAGCATCTTGATTAGCCGTTTCAGTGGCACTGCTGCAAACCTCTTATCAAATGAGACAAAACCCAATAGTTGCCACATGGAGTTTAAAGCATGGAAAAAACTTAACATACCAATCCGGTTCAGCTGGTTCCTGCTGGTTATCTGGTGGATCTTCCAAAAGAAAGCAATGCCTTGCTGCCAGCTGCATGCCTGGAGAATCACTACTTAATGATTTCAAAGAGCAGCCAGATGAAGCAGTAGAAACATCACTTCCCACCAGTCTTGCCAAAAATGCTGCCTATAAATGAAATATATAGAATGTAAGTTAAGAGATATTAGCTGCATTTTAGAGGTGAAAATGCAAATAAGATATTTTACTGTCTGCAAGGCGACAGTGATGAAAAACTATATGCATATGGAAGATGGGTTTTTGATTCCAGTGCACAAGTTAGTAACCTCATTACTGAGGATGAATTTGGCTGGAATGTGGGCCTGGTCAAGCGTATCTTCCAGAAAAACAATCTTGTTACTTCCCTATAAACCATAAATAAGAGCAGAGGAAAAAGAAGCAAACATTCTCTTTGTATTATTACGACCAAGTAAATTTCACAGCCAACGAGGGAGAAATTGAATGTTGGTTGTAGATATTTGTAATGTTGAATGAAATACCCCAATTTTCCAAATATGACATTTGACTTACCAAAGCCATTACAGGATTTCCAACTTCAGCAAATGATAGTTGGATTTCAGGAGTATGAAGATAACCAATAGCTTGAAATGCTTCAGTGAGAGCTTTGACTGCCAAATTTTCACCCAAATGCTGGGCAGCCTTCACTTCACTAGTATCTTTTGATTTGGTAGTCTCCTCACCAACTATAGCTTCATTGGCATTGCCCAGCTTTGCAGTTTCCTGGACAACTTTTAGTTCACTTGCATCTTCTTGTTTGGAAGCTTCCATTGGCAAAGCCAGAGGAAAGTCCTCCTTAGCACCAGTTTTTTCCTCACTAATTTCAATCCCATCTTTAGGAACAGATGCATCATCAACAATTGTAGGCTGATCTGTAGTTTCTTTGGAACTCCCATCTACATCATCATCACAGTCAAAAAAAGCATCCTCAGTTGGCATTTGAACAAAGTGCAATATACATTGAGCTTTAGTTTTTGTGGCAACATGCTCTGCAATCTCATTCCAGTTTTCTTTATAAAGTTCCAATGCCTCAAGGAGAAGTAGGGTCTCCTGATCTGTCCACTTTCCACCGCTTAAGCCAGGATCAGCAGGCTCCATGAGAATAAAATCTGATGAAGACATGTCTGAGCCAAATTTCCGGTTACTAAAGCAATCAGCACACAAATCATAATCTGCCTGTTTACCAAGAGGATAATCAGAAAGAACGAAGATGATGGTGAAAATGAAACGCCTAAAATTTATCCATCAACAATCAAATTCTCCTATGACACGAATATCATTATAAATAATTTCATTGTTCACTACCGTACTGCTAATGTAAGTAAGTAGTGTATTCAAGGCATTGAATCATCTGCAAGCAAAAAAACAAACAAACAAAAAAGTACAAGAGACTCTAATCCACTGCTCCTTGCACATGCTATATGGTTCCTTTATTTGTTGAGTTTGAATAAGAAGCTAAATAAAAGCATAGAGACATCCATACAAAACTTATAAACCGAATGTTGAGTTATCTAATTCAAAATTCTAAAAGTGCCATTCTCAGAAACTTCTGCAGATTACAGAACAATAAATTTAAAAGTCTAACTAGCAGCATGATTCAGGCATAATTTGATATACATCATATCAGTGTCTCAAAAGTGGGGAAAAAAGGATCTGGATTTTGATATGTGAAACTGGTCAGCAGCACTTCTCAATGATGATATTCAGTTAATAACTGGAAAATTACAATTCTCTACAACAAACCAGTATCACATTAACTAGTGCAAACTGATATATCTGTTAGTTTGGTGTTATTACCATTACTTAGCATCTCAGGGCTATTAATTCAATCCTAGAAACAGGAACCCTTATAATGTGCAGAAAAAATCCCAAATATCAGATAAGAGTATGGAGATACAATTCTCACAACTATGAAAAAAAAAAAAAAAACATGCCATGCATAGGAAAATAAAAACGCACCCTATCAATTGGCTGAACATTAATAGTCTGACAGTGTTTATCATGCATTTCTATACCCATTTTGACTATAAATCTAATATTGGCCAACAGGGAAATTCCACAAAATTATGCTTTGTGCGCGACTACATACTACTTTGAGTTCAAGACTCAAAGTGGTTCAGAAAGGAACCTTCTATCCAGATGGTGATTCGGTACAGCAAGGTATCTCTTCCTTCTGTAGCAATAACTGACAAATTCTAGGAAACAACCAACCTGCTTCTGGCAATGGTAGCGTTTACGAGAGCAATCAGCTGAACAGGAATTGCAGTGGTACTCAACAGCTGGCCCCTCAGGCTGCACCAAATCTTCTGCAATTGAAGACTCAGGAAATAACCCAGATGGTACAGATGGAGTTGATAGATTAGGCTTATGAAGAACAAGAGGGGATGGTTGAATGGTTTCAAAGTGAAATAACTTCTCAAGCAATGAATCCTTCTTTGCTGCTTCATCACTATAAGCATTGGCAGAAGAATCTATTTGTGGGAATGGGTGGAAATTAATCAATCCCCAGTAGTCCAAGAATTCAAGCACCTCTTGCTTTGCATCTAGGTCTGCAACTTCAAGCTCAGAAAGATCTTTTAATTCAATCTGTACATTTGGATTTGCATGAAATTTTTTCACAATCCAATTTCGTATCTTCATGTAGGTATCAGGTGTCCGGGTTTGGGACTTCCCATTAAAGAATGAAGGTAATGCACGCTCCTCAAGGAGGTGAATTTTTGACCATGAAAACCAACCTGTAATCCAAAACAAAGCAGCATCGCCTCATTAAGTTACTTTTCCAGTAATTGCAAAACATGCAATTGCTTATAAATTCACTTTGACAAGAAAACCTAAAAAACCTTGCCCTTTAACAATTTTATCAACCACACACATGGAAATAGAAGTTTCAAATGAAATTTTAGCTAAGTATTTGCAAATATGTACCGCTACAAAAGATCTTTTATTAGAAAAAAGTTCAACTTGCATAAGCTAAAATGCAAGAAGTAAAAACGATTAAAATAATAAATAACTCCAATACTACTGGATAGAGCGAAGAACCAACCTGACTAGCAGTATGCATTGGCAACCAAAATAACAGAAAATTTGATCCCTCAATAGAAGACAGAATAATAGAGCCGCCCAAAAACAAGATAAACTTTCACTTCCTTATTTCATTTGTTTCCTCATCATCCAAATATATAGGAAAGAAAAAAGTAGAAGAAATAAATAAAAGAACAGGAAAAGAAAGGGTTTGATAAAAACATCATATGAGGAGAAAACAACTGAAATTCCCTAAAAACCATGACCCAAATTTGGGACTTCTCTGCAACTAAAGCAAATCCAAGAACACAATTCAGTAACCATAGTAGCACAATATCCCAAAACCAAACAGGAGAAAAAAAACGAACTTTCAAGGAAAATACATAAAATTCAAACTTCCACTCACCGCAATGATTAGGCACTACATGAGCATTAGAATCTCTAGATCTAATACCCTCAAACTCCGCTTCTATAGATGCTTTCAACTTCTCCAACTTACTTATCTCCTCCTCCAATGCTGCCACCGTCGCAGCCTCCGACGCAGACAGAGCAACCTTATCCTCAAGCTTAAATCCAGCGCCTGCAGCCGCAGCAGAAGCTGAAGAACCCAAATTGTTGGGGCCCTGGCGGGCTCTGGTCAACGGACCACCGTTGTGGATCGGCGGGTGAGAGATCGCGGCCTTCTCGCGAGTGAGCCGTTTCGACGGTGTAGACGAAGAGCTGTTTACAGACGTCGCGTTGGCTTTCCTCTTCAGCCCTCCCGCCCGCCTCCGTGACGACGCTGGCTCGGCTGATGCCGGTGAGTCGGCACCCGCCGTGGCCGAGCTCCCCGCTGGTTTCTCCTCCATTGAGTGAATTCGTCGAGGGTTTGTGCTCAAAGACTGTAGACAACATACACCATTTTTGCGGATTTATTGCTTCCAAGTTAAGTGAAAAGAGTTTTATTGTATAACTGTATAAACTTGTATCTGGAAATAGTACATTTCAACCTGGACGAGGGACTCGTTATTTTTTAGCGTTCCTGTGCAGTGGCGGTCCATAATAAGTTGGTAGGCCTTTTGATTTACAAGTTTGCGAATTAGAAAGGTCGCTATAAAACAAAGTGTTGATTAACATTTGTTAAAACCTTTCAACCCATATAAAATAACGAGAAAAGATAAATTCATCACTAACTTGTAATACCACTATTTTTCAGTACCAGTTGTTTTATGGTTTCCATTGTACGTTGATTTTTTTTGTTATATATTTATTTTAATTTTTTTATTTATATAATATTAATATAAATTGTTATTTAGATTAAAACAAATATTTCCAATATAACATCTAATAGAAAAGAAAATAATATTTTTGTTAATATTATTTCTCTCTTAAATAAAAAAATATAATTTTGTTGTTAATTAATTACATAAATTAATTAAAAATTTACATTTATCATACTATAAAATATTTTATAATTTGACAACCTTATAACATTAATCTAATAAATCAAGACTTGCTCTATATAACCACAACATAAAATATAAATTTGATCTTTGCATCAATTATTTTTGTTATATGATGTTAAGTTAAAATTTTATTAATAGTATGTAATATTTTGGACTTCATATCTTTTATACAAAATCTAAAAATAAATTGTTTAAAGTTCTCAGCTTCATATACGGATCGATATGCAAACAACAATATTGATAATGGAAAATCTTTTCTTAAATTTATAAATATATATAAATGAGATTAAATTCAAAACCTTATAACATTAATCTAATAAATCCAAGACTTGCTCTATATAACACAACATAAAAATATAAATTTGATCCTTTTGCCATCAATTATTTTGTTATATGATGTAGTTAAAATTTTATTAATAGTTTGTAATATTTTGGACTTCATATCTTTTATACCAAAATCTAAAAAATTAAATTGTTTAAAGTTCTCAGCTTTCATATACGGATCGATATGCAAACAACAATATTGATATGGAAAATCTTTTCTTTAAATTTTATTAATATATATAAATGAGATTAAATTACAAAATTTTCTAAGTTCATATATATTTATTTAAAAAAAATTTAAATTCAAAGGTCAAAAATTAAAATTTCAAAGGTCTAATTATCTTTATATCTATTCCAAAAATTATTTTTAAAAATACATCCAATTAAATCTTAGAAAATTAAATCAAATTTGAAAGTAGAACAAAATATTGAATAAAAAAAGAGCTCTTAAATTTTCTCTTTATTTCATCTTTAATATAAAAAAAAGCTGAAAAACAAAAATAGTAGCAAATATGCCTAAATAGTCATTTTTTTATTAATTCAAACTTTTAGAGCCTATATTAGTCAAATACTATAATCCATACTTTTATTGTTTTTGTTGAATTAGAATTATAAAAAAATTTAAAAAACAATAAATTGTAAATAATTCAAATACGTGTAAATCAAAGAGAAATAATATATTTAAAATTTTTTATTTTAATTTTATCGTATTTAACTAATAAACTCTCTAATAGCAAATTATTTAACTATATTTCAAAAAATTCAGAATATAATAAATTAGAAGAATTTAACATTTATTTTCAATACTTAAAATTAAGGTTTTCGATATACCTCCTAAAAAGCAGTATCACGTGAGAACCTATAATTAAAAATATCAAAATTATTAATTATAAAAATTATTGGACAATAATACTGCAAGATCAAATAGAGAAATATAAATATACATATATCTTGAATTAAAATGCATAAAAATATAATTAAAAGGATATTCAAAAGGATAAATAGAATGTTTTTTCTCAATGTAAAACGCACAAGAGAATATAACTAAAAGGATTTTCAAAAGGAAAAATGAACTTATTTTTTCAAATTAGAATGCATTAAAAATCTAACTAAAGGGATATATTAAGAATTTTTAATTAAATTAAGGCTACTATAGAAAATCTCGTTATTTTCCTCTATTCTCATATTTATATGTATATAGTATAGATTTGTTACATTTAAAATTTCACGACACTTAAAAAACCATTAAATTTTATTTAAATTACAATAAATTATTGAGTAAATTAACTATGTTACTCTTAATTTAATATATCCAAACACTAAAAGTGTGTTCACTTGTAGAAAACTGAAGTATATCTCCCGTCCTTATATCTCTCTCCTCCATTATTTTCTTACATAGTTTATATGTATTTAGTATAGATTTGTTACATTTTAAAATTTTCACGAAACTTTAAAAACCATTAAATTTTATTTTAAACTTACAATAAATTATTGAGTAAATTAACTTATGTTACTCTTAAATTTAATATTATCCAACACTAAAAGGGTAAATTACAATAAATTATTGAGTAAATTAACTATGTTACTCTTAATTTAATATATCCAAACACTAAAAGTGTGTTCACTTGTAGAAAACTGAAGTATTTTTCTAAAAAAATGTCTTCAAGAAAATTGAAAAACAAAATTTTGTGTTCAAGCTAGAAAATAATTTTTCAATTTTTTAAAATTTAACTAAGATTTTATTAGAGCTTTCCTTTATAACAAAAGACATTTTTTTCATTTTTTTTTAAATGACATTTCATAATAAAAATTATGCTTTAATGATAGAAAATATTTAAATAACATAAAAATTCATATTATGTTTTAATAAATAATTAGCTTTATTATTACAAATATATTAAATCCATTATTTTTAAAAAACTTTGCAAAATGATAAAAAATGATATTATTATTTAAATAACTAATAGTAAAATTAAAAAAATTTTACATAAAAAATTTCTAAATTTATCTTATAAATTTTTATTTCTTTTAATTATGGAAATTTTGAATAATGTTTATGAAGTTTGATTAAAATGTGACTTTTTATTGTTACCAAGCGAATGCATTTTCCATTTTTTGTTTTTTATTGTCCATTTTATAAGAAAACTATTTTCTTAGAAAATAGAAAATAAAAAACAGAAATTTATTTTATATAAGTAAACACATTCCAAATTTTTAAAGAATTGAAACAATAATTGTCGGTCATATACAAAGGATAAATATGAAAAAAGAATTATTACTTCTTCAGAGCCTGTTTGAAATAAATGAATTCCACATAATTTTATGTTTGGAATAAAAAAAAACATATTTAAATTCAACGAATTGAATTTTATAGAATTAGATATGACTAACTCAAATTCTACTAAAATTAATGGAATGTGTAAATGGAATTCACAAAATTAACTATTGAAATGTTATTGACAAAATTACTCTCTACTATAAACTAAAATTTTTTTTTCCTATTTGTTTATTTTCTTTGAAAATTTCCAAACTATGATAATATTATTTTTTTTTTTAAATCCAATAATAACATTAGTTTATATTTTTACTTTTTTTTTATGAAAATTTCAAACCAGTAATAACGTTTTTTTTTTAGTCCAGTAACAATGTTAGTTATTATTACTATCAAAATATAGAAACTAAATATCACAGTTATTTTCAAATGATATTTAAAACAATAGTAACATTCTTATTTTTTTTTAAATTTTCAAATTAATTATTTAAATCAACAAAACTTTTTATTTCAATAAAAGATAATTATCATGATGAATGTTATTGGTTATATAATTAGCGTGGAATATTAATGTAGTTATTTATATGAAATTTATTATTTGCATTTTAAGAAAAAAAAAAGACAAGTTATTATATTATACATAACAAATGTATTTAATGTTTGTTATTTATTTTTGTCAAATTATTATGTCAAGGTGTTATAAGAAATGAAGACAAATGAATTTTATTTAATAATTTATTCTAAATATAATTTCATAGAATTTAATTAAATTTCTTATTTTAAATTGTAGCATATTAAACATGACAAATTCATTTGCAAACAAAATTTACTTGAAATTCAATTATAAATGAATTATATAACCATAATTCATTTGTTCTAAATGGACCGTAAAACTACAAATGTGACAAATATTTTGAAATATATTACTTTCTCAAAATGTGACAATTGTTTAGGAACGGATGTAGTAATTCAATTAATACATGCAGACATCTATTTTAGAAACTAATTATGAACTCAATAACTTATGATTCTGTTAACATGTTCGTCGTTTCATCCAAAATAATCTATTTTAATTGTCAATTAACCGAAAAATTGATTTATAAGTTATTATCAAACTAAGTATAAGGTCTTTAACTTGATTTTGGTTATCACTTTACTCTCTTTTTTTATAATTTCTATTAATATTTTGATTCTTCCGTTTTGTAATGAAGGACCAAAATATTAATAAATCATATTTAGAGACATGCTAATTAGTTTTTGAAAATATAAATTTTCATTAAGTTAATTCAATCATAACTCAGGGCGCATTTATTTATTTTTTCTTATAAATAACTATATTTATGTTTATATAAATGGTTGAAGCTGATCTATCTCTATATAAATATATGTGATGGCATTTTTTTATTTCCTAACATTTGTTTATTACTTTTTAATTTGAAGAAATTAAATTATAAACTCTTTATTTTCTTCTACCAATAATTAACAATTATATAATAAATTTATTATATTAATAAAGAACTCTTTATTTTCTTTTTATGCAATTATTAATAATACGAATAATAAATTTATTGCATTACAATAAAACTCTTCAATTTTTTTCCATTTTAAAGAATTATACTTTTTAATTATTTTATTTATGGGTATTTACTTCTTTGCTCTATCAATTTTGATATTTTCTTTTGTACCATTATGCATTTTTTTTAAAATTTTCAAGCGGAGCTGAAGCTGAGTAATTTGAGTCTTAGTCTATGTTTAGTTTAATGTAATGCAATGTAATATAATCAAATATATAATGTAATGAAAAATGTAATAGAATGAAATGTAATTAAGATTCCATTACTATGTTTGATAATATAATTGAAAAAAATTTATGGAATGTAATAACTATTCTATTTTTATATTTATTTATAAATATGTAATGTAATTAGCATACCATTGTCACTCTACCACCACTACCACTTCACCATCATCACTACCATAATCACTCCACCACCACCGCCTCATAGTGGTTCAAGTGGTGGTAGAGCAATGAAAATGGTTGTAGTGATGAAGCAGTGGTGGTAGTGGTAGAGCGGCGGTGGTGATAGTGGAATGGCAACGGTGGTGGTGGTGGTGGAGTTGTGATGGTGATTGTGACGATGGAGCAGTGGTGTTGGCGGTGGCATTGAACGGTGATGGTAATTGTGGTGGTGAAGCGGTAATATTAAATAACTTTGAATGGTGTTAAATAACCTTAATGTAATTGATATTACATTTAATTGATGTAATTGACCATCAATTTAAGTAATCAAGATTACACATATAATCTTAATTACATTACACCATTAAAAAATATGTCTAACCAAATAATATAATCAATTATATAATGTAATACTCATTTCATTATATGGTTGATTACATCATACAAAATCCGATAACATCTTCAGTAAAACACTAAAAGCTAGAAATATTGATTTATCAAAAATAGAGTTGAAGTTATATTTCTCAGAATTATTTGTGATAAATCCGTTTCTCTCTCCGACAATTTGCCTCTATGCATAACAGATTCAGTGGAGAGTGAAAAAATAAAAATAAACAAAGATTATTGCTGGGCACACGAAATCGATATCAAAAAGAAAACATTTGCCACTGAGTCTGCCAACAAGCCTGACAGATTCAGTAACAGAATTTTTTTTTTAACAAAAAAGAATTTTTAATAGAACTTCATATTATTTTTAAAGTTTTCGTGAAAACCGAATATGCCCATTTATTTCTTCTTACAATTTTTTTTTTTTTAATTCCTTATTGGGAATATGAGAACGCCGAATCCGTAGAATATTTTGCACTGAACAGAGTCACAAATTAGGAAAATCCATTTGCACCGAACCCGCTTACAGATTAAGAAAATTCACTTTACCAGTCAGGTTAGGGATTCAAAATTTAGAAGCCTCACTCTGGACTTTACTTAAATATTACAAGAAGCAAGTATATGCCAGCCCGAGACTGCTTCTGTCAATGTAGACATCTAACTTACAATTCTCGATTCAGTCAATCAAATTTATATGCCACCTAGCTAAGCTTTATGTTGATATGATTCAACATATTTTCAACTTCGTTTCTCGTATTATCCAGAATATCCTACCCATAGCCTCACAGGTTCTGTAACTAGATTCTAGGAGAAATAGGAAACCCTATAATGCAAGTATGCAACAATATAACCTGACATTTGAATGACTCCAATGGCATAAATATCCATGTGTTTCCTTGAGGAATCGCAAAGGCAATTGAAAATATTCCTATGGAGCAAAAAGATACATATAATTTTAAACAAATAACAAAAAAAAAAAAGTCGATTTTGATAACCTAATGTCGTCCACTTCAGCTGGATGAGAGCATTTTATATATTACATCCAACAGCAAGCCACAAGCACTCCAACTAGCCGGGGAAGTATATATTCAATGAGGTGGCTTAACACTACACAGTACCATTTTCTGGACTCTCAGCAATGTGTTATACAGTGCATTTTAAGACCGAGACATGCTGCTTCAAATCAAACAACACAAAAGACATAAATAAGGGAACTGATTTAGCCTTATTTCATCCTTCAGGATCCTATGATGGAGCCTTAGTTTACTAGTTTTATTGGGGTTGGGAAGCAGTAATGCCACTGTCATTGCCATTGCAACCACTAACAGCACATTGGCGAAACCAACTTTCCCATCATAACAACACAAATGTTAACCCATCAGAAAACAACTTATCATGGAAAAAAAAAAAAAAAACATTCGTTCCTGATGAACCATTGTTGGAAATTTGGGTGAAGAAAGTTCATCTAGAAGAAATTTAAGAATCCAACCTAAATGTTCCGTCAATCTGTGTTAACAATAGGGTTAGCTTCTACTTAATTAGTTGTTCTAGTACTTAAAAAATGTCACTGCCAACAACATTCACACTTTCACAATGCATTTAAGTTGTAATCAGCCTCAGTTGATAAAAGCCCTAATATAAGGAATATGAATCACATTTGACATAAAGTTTTAGGTGAATCACAAATGCTATCTAATATAGTAAAATACATGCATAACATATATTTCACAGATCAAAAGAAAAAATTATAATGAACATCAACAATTGGCAGCAGGGCACCTCAAAGTCAATGAATACAAAATACAATTGCTCTTTCATATCTTACTTGGTGGCCTGGGCAATAATATTACTTATGGAACTGGCCTGCTCTTTTGCAGTCTCCACCAATGAATCCTACAGCTCAATGAATGATGCACTCAGAAACCTGTAAGAAGCTAAAATTTATGATAATGTGAGAAAAAAGAGTTATACCTGCGTAGCTATTAGCTTGGCAACTGTTCTCTTGCTCGACTCCTGGAGCTCCCCAGCAATCAAAAGCTCATCCAATATGTAGTAGGCCTTTCACATGAAAGAGGCAAACAACTAAGCAAAAAACATTGAACATCCATGTACACAAAATAAAAATTAATAATCTAATTTAATTACTGAAGCATATATAATAACCAATTGTAACATAATTACCAATAATAACCATATACTAAATTTAACTTTCCAATGCTAAGTTAAAGAAGGAAGGGGAGGTTAGAAGATGGAGCAAATCTTGATTGGAAGACAATAAGCATACCTTATGGAAGTTGAAGATCAAATCCAACTCACAAACCTGCATGGAAGCATAAATCAATTGTCAAAAAAATCAAAATGTAGGACTATGGCCCTTTTTTTTTTTTTTTTTTTAAGAAAACATGGTCATTTTCAAAGAAATAACATTCCATTTTAAAAACAAGACTCAATTTCCAAGAATTCTGCATACTCACAAAGACGCAAATACCCACAAAATAAGCACATAACAGCCAGTCCATCAATTACTGATCACACTGATTGCCACTCACCATTTAGAGTTCATATAAGCCTCTATCAAAGATCAACACCATCACAACCCACATCTTTTGTAAACAGCTCTCTCTCTCTCTCTCTCTCTCTCTCTCTCTCTCTCACTCTCCTCTCTCCTCTCTCTCTCTCATCCTCAAAGATCAACTCACCATCACATCTTTCTCTCTCTATCAAAAGACTCAAACACCAAAATCAACAACCCACATCTTCTTGTCTTCTCTCTGTCTCTCTCTCTCATATAGATAGGTGGCAAATCACCAATCACACAAGTTCTTATATTTGTAAAACTATACATATCCTCAAAACACACAAATACAAAACATCCATAAACAAACATAACAATTCCCCGGGTCCAATTATTGCGTCATACACCACAACCACTTCATAAAATACATTCCATCTTCCATCAAAAAATATTTTCTTACAAAAAAACATTTGACGCAAATATGAAAAATCATATTTCCAAGAAACACTTAAGAGCCCTCAATGAAAATGAGTGGAAACAACGCTTTTTTTCACCGTTCACTCACACTCGCCAAAGTATCCGATCCATAAATTCTTCCTCACATAATGATGGATCATTTCAAGGACCCTTCTAATTCGTTGTCATCCTGATCAAATGCACATGCACGAAAATATAGGCTAGATACCCTGCTTATGCATTGGAAGCAACACATTGCATCAACCCCAACTAATGGACAAAACCATACTTCACATACCTCCTCTACATAACGGGCGAAAGGTAGTGCTTCATACCTTCGCTTACACTTACCTTTTTATAAACAACTTTTAATAGCCCTCTCCATTCAAACAAATTAACCAGCTTGGGCCCTCGACTCAGATATTCACCCCACTCAAAGCTCAGAATACCACCTTCAACAAAGTGTTACTCATCCACACAAAAATACAATATTTCATTCAATGCGTTAAGAAAAGCACAAAACATTGTTTAGAAAGAATTTTCAAAAAAGGATGTTTCGCCACACTTCACATCGTTAAGAAGAATTTTCAAAAAAGATATTTGCCCCGCTAAAGCACAACCAACTCTCGTCCCATCATTCTGAAGGCCACTTAAAAGATATTTATTTCAAAAATTTGGGGATACCTAATGGAAAGATATGAAAGAACAAAAAAAGTCCTTAGTCATTACCCTTTTAGTTTTCTTTCCTTCTGTGAATAGTCTGAATACCAATTTTGTCCAACCTCACTTTTCCTTGTCGACTAATAAGAAGGACAAAAATGAATCTAGAACACAGCAGAACATAAACCATTATTGCTTTTACTATTCTTAAATCCAAAAGCCAATACGAATAAATCAATGACATAAATTCGTAAAGCCATTTCAAAGATAAATTAGAACATATGTATAATCAAAAAATAATAATTCATATTTGAATTGGACACGTCTACTCTAAAAGGTAAAATCACACATGTAAAGACTATTATTTTCTTCCTTCTCATTTTTTATTCAAAGTCGATTAACTAATACCCAGCTTAAAGGAAATAAGTTCTTTACACCTAAATGAAATAACAGATTTAGAACAGACTCTTTGTAGAAAAATGAAACTCCAGCAATACCCAATGCACAGAAACCAAACTAATCTTATGGACTTGACTATGAATCAACAAATGGGTTTTTTTTTTCATTTTTTAATTTTTGAAATTCGTCCATTGGAAACGAGTTAAACAAAGAACGCAATAAAATTAATACGCTTAACCATCTCTCAGTTCTACACCAATTAGCACAATTTTACGAATATCATAAATTTTAAAATCAAAAAACATCAACAACTCAAGATTCGCAAAGCAACCCAACTATTTTCGCCGTTCAAACTGGCTTAAAAGTTAAGCAATTCGGAAATGGAATACAAGAACAAGTAAAAGATCACAAAGATACGACTAATATTTTAGATCCAATTTTTTTATATGGACTTGAACAGATGAAAAAGAGAAGAAAACCGATAGAAAAATCGCAAAAAAAAAATTAAAGAACTACCATTTTATGGAGTCTGGTCTGTTCTATTAAGAGATCCACAATTCTATCAAAGACAACCAACACCCTGCTAGCAGCCAATCCTACTCTGTAGTATTTTTTCCTTCTGTTATTTTTCCTCTTCTTCTTCTCGGGAAAGTTATCAGTGAAAAAGTTGGGCCGAGCCAATGTTATATAGTACTGTTTGACTAAATAACCAAAAGATCGAGAGAAGAAAGAACCGTCCTGGCCTGGAATGGCAGCTGGTCCCATTACCACTTAAAAATGTATCAAACGAACCTGATTAATAATCTGGTAAAATTCCATCTTCAGAAATTAATGCTTATTACCCAACCTAATCTCAATTCCCATTACAAATTACTCTTTTTAAATAATCCAACTCGTTTTAAATATAAAAATAAAAATAAGTAAAAACGTCTATAAAACATTACTTTATTTTGACTTATAGAAAATATAATAATTAATATTAAATATTAACTATAACTTTATTAATTTATCAATTAGGAAGGTATATATAGTTTTCTTTTGAAGAACATAATTAATTTTAAATATCTTTTAAAATATTAGTTACATCGTAATCATGTATTGAGTGTTTAAATCTTTAAATCTAAATTCGATGCAATAAATAAAAATAACTGTTATGCCCTATTTATTCCACCTTACTTATTTTAAATACTGGAAAACCGATGTCGTACGGGGGGGTTTTTCTTCCGGGAAAAATTGTTATCCTTTAGCCTTCTTGACAAGGGGCGGATCCATGCTGTTAAATTTGTCCTTATCCTCCGCTCGAAACCTAACCAGAATTGCAAAAATCTCATCCCATTTTCCACCTTATTAAAAAAAACAAAAAAGAAATCCCCTGTCTTTTGACAAAAATACAATGCTCCTCCCAAAACAAAATACGTTTTTCCCAATCTCTTTAATGTCATTTTCAAAAACTATTTTATTAATCTAATGCTTTGTTCCTTAATATGGAGAAAGAAAGAGTGTTGTAATATGAATGCAAATCAGAAAAGTAACCGTAACTAACAAGAATAGTCAAGCAATATATACTAAATACATATTAACATCACACTAAAAAATTTTCTCAAACATCTAGTAAGTACAACACTTAAAAATATCATAACTCTTAGAAAATATTAACATTCTAGAAAATTAATATCCCTAAATTCATACTAGAAATATTCACAATCTACTAGAAAACTTATTCTAGAAATACAACATTAAAAAATAAATCTTATTTGAATATAAGCAATGATCTATCATTTTATATAAAATATTTCATCTATTATTATCTATATTATATTATAATATTCATGTTTATTCCAACAAATAAATAAATTTATTGAATTCTTTTATTATTTTTAAAAATTATGTCTTTTAAATTTATTTAATAAAGTTTAAAATTTATTTATATTTATATATAATAAAATATCATTACTTTAAGAAGAAAAACTAAGCCCAAATGCCAATTTCTCGGAGCAAAAAAAAGCAATCTACAAGAAAAAAATCTAACAAGGCATTATTTAATTAGAAATGAAATTAAAAAAAAATTTTACTAAAAAATAAAAAACTAAAATATAAAAAATTATTTAACGCTTAATCGACACTTTTTGATGGGGTTTTCTTTCCTTTCTTTTTCTATGAAAAATGCCTTGGAAACTATTTGTGCTGAACGAGTTTTAAGTGATCCGAGTGGTCTGTGGTAGTTTGAGTGTTCGTGGTATGCGAGTGCTTATGGATATATGTGAACTCCTCTTTAATAGAAAGTTTTGAGTAAGGGAATAAAGGGATAGGTATAGCTATAAGGAATCGAATCCCCTGATTCTTTGCATCCTTTCAATCACGCTTAAGTTTTTTGAATGTCATTGGCTTGTCCAAATAAAGAATTGGCAACCAAAAATATATAACAAGCCGGTGTCAATGCAAAACGATATGCACCAAAACCCCTAGATCAACATGTGTTTTGGTAAAAAAAAATATTTGGAGTGAAACAAAATATTTTTTTTTAATTGAAAACCCACTGATTAATTTGGTAAGACTCTTAATAAACACATTATTTTTCATGTACTTTTTGTTGACTAGTGATCCTCCCGTAATCTACAATAAAACCACCAAATGAATTGTGTGTTTTCAGTGAAAAGACAAATTGATAATTTCTTAAAATTTTTATTTTATATTGAAAATCACCAAATTGATTGGTAGTCCTCAATACAAAATAAAAATTTTTGTTTTTCATAGAACTAGTTTTTGCTCGAACTGCTTATCAACTACTTTTGTTACTTTTTTTATTGTGGTGGTTTCAAGTACACACTCCTCTCTCTCCATGTTTACGGAAACAAACATTAGATTGATAAATAGTTTTGAAACCATTAGCTTAGAAAATCATTTTTTGAATGAGCATTGTTCTTTGTCAAAACAGCTTCTAATCCGCTGAGCCATGTATTTAAACCTTATAAATTTATTTAATGTAATTTACCTCCATTCAAAAAAACTTATTGTGAATTTTAAATTTTACAAGTTGAGCCTATAAATTCATGTGAAGTTACGAAAATTTGAATAATATGTAACCATTCTCTAATACCCGGTAATAATACGTTTTTTGGCTTTGTCTTTGAATATTTATTGCAAAATATTCCACTTAATGTGTATTGAGTATAATTTTTGAAACAATATTTTTTTAACAACTTTTTTTCAACTTTTTAAATAGGTATCTTAATTGATCCTAATTTATAAGATTGAGTTTCAATAGAACATTAATTTTTGCAAATGAAGTAATATAGAAATTTTATAAGTTGAATTGTTTCGATAGATGCAACATAAAAGTTGAACAGTGCCAAACAAAAAATTTTTTTTTTTTATGTAAATTAAGTGTGAATTTAATACATTGGACACATATAAAACAGCATACTTTATTAATTAGTAAAAAATTAACAAAGAAATAATATTATATGTTTTTTTTTATTTGAACACGGCATCTAAAAAATATTGACTCATTTCGTCTTTGGTAATATAAATGAATTGTCTGCAATTCTTTATGAGGCAGGGGTAGGATTAGTCTCTACAAAAAAATTGAGGCATTCTGCCTTCTCCAATGGAAGTGGAAATAGGATATCATAGAGTTAAGCTACCTTGGAAGATCTGGTTTAAAAATCTGTCACATTACTATTTAGTGCCCATATCCAAAAAAAATTCATGTTAAAATTTTACCTTTATACTTATACGAAATATAGTACTTGTAAACTTTTAAAATTACCATTTAAAATAAGTGGTGAGTCTTTTTTATATTTTTTTGAGAGACAATTACTTTTGTCTCTTCTTTTTTTTTTTTTTTTTTTTTTTTTTTTGTAAGAAAAATACTTAGTTGTATTGCCCATTATGAAAACTGTGTAACAAAAACTCAAGGATCAAAGTCTAAAATATGAATCCTACGACTAAAACTCAAAGAGAAGCCTTGCAATAGAGTGAGCTTTTCTCATTCAATGCCTACGGCACCATCCAATTCTAATATCCAGGTTTGTCACTAAATACTTTTAATAAGTCTCAGACAATATAGATCAAACTCCCAAAAAATAATCAATAAAGGTCGAATGAACAAAGCATTAACAACAGTTGGCAAATCCGAGAAAATACTAACCATTATGGGCATCCTGCTGCGACGCATAGAGGAGGCAGCTATGAGAAGAGATGGGTTTCAACAACCGCAGGAATCCTGCACATCCTCTTGGTGACCTAAGACAGCACGCCATAAACTCGCCTTTTGATGTCTGTAGCAGGGAACAATAGCCCATCAAGTAAAGGCTAGCCACTCATTTTTACCCTTTG